TCAGCTGTTAAGAGCACTTACTGCAGAAGTCCAAGGTTCAGTTCCCAGCACCCACACAAAGGCTCACAACCATCTATAACTCCAGTTCCAACAGCTCTGACTCCCTCTTCTGACATCCACGGGTACCAGTTGCATGGGTAGCACACATGCATACATGCAGACTCATACAAATAAGATAAAAATAAGTAAATCTTTAACAAATAAAAGCAAGAGCTGATAAATGGGACATCTACGTCACAGACTCAGGGGCCATAGAGGAAGTGGAAGGGGGATTTAAGAGCCAGAGATTGGGGAGGATTGAAGCAAATCAGTGTCATCTGGACATGCCAAGACAGCTTCACTCCTGAGCTCCCAGCAGCTGTAGTTTCCTGCACTCAGCTGGAACAAGATCAAGCCAGTAAACATTCCAGCCTAGAGTGGGGAGGGACTCGTGAGCCCCCACCCCTAGCTGAGAAGCTCTTGACAGTGGATGCTCTTAGGGGAGGGAGAATGAGTTTCCTTTAAGGCTGTGGTCCCTTATAGGTAGACAGAGCACCAGTGGATGACCCCACACCCAGGAATATATGGGCGGCAAAAATTGGATGGGTTATTTAAAAAAAAAAAAAAAAAGAAGAAGTATATGAAGTTGGGAAGAAGTGGAGACAAGGGAGTGGGTCCTAAGATGTGGCCTACACTTACAGAAAAGTCCATAGAACCAAGCTGATCATGGTAGTACACGTCTGTAATCTCAGCACTTGAGACATGGAGGCAGGAGGATCAGGAGTTCAAGACTCACTCTGGCTACTACACAGCAAGTTCAAGGCCTGCCTGGCTACACAAGACCCTATGTAAACGAAGAGATTTTTAAAAAGCAGTGTCTGGGTAGAGAATGTAGCTCAGCGCGTAGAGAGCTCAAATAGGTTCACTAAGCCCCAAGTTTATCCCAGCACCACAGAAGCAGAGCCTGGGATGCAAGCCAGTGCTCCCAGCATTTGGGGGTAGAAGCAGGAAGACCAGAAGGTCAGAGTCATCCTTAGCTACAGAGTGAATGCCAATCTCCGTCTTGGCAACGTGAGAGGCTGTCTCAAAAACCAAACAAAACTGGAGTGTGGAAAAGCTTCTAGAGGAGGAGTGACCGGGTTTCACTGAAATGGCTTTGTCGAGCTGGATCTTAAAGGATTATCGGGGTTCTGTCAAGGAAAACAAAACACTTGTGGGGTTGAGAGGAGATCTTACACTAAGATTCAGGCAGCAGAAAGAGCTGCCAGGAAGGTGAAGGTCGCTGGCCATGGGGAAAGCGCCGGGACTCTAATCCTAGCTCAGAGAGGGGCAGCTGTGAGACTGGGGATGCCAGCAGGTGGGATCGTTGAAGATGTCCTTTTAAGAGACATTTGGTCTTGAACAGACATAAAGGGCTGACACTGAGGCTCAGTGGTGTGGTAGAGCCCTTGTCAGTCAGGCACAAGGCCCTAGGTTTGCCCCTCCCCCATTAAAACTCTTCAGAATAGCTTACCTGGTTTAAACAGACATAAATGCCAACCCCCTTCAGCCTGGACTTGCTTCATTCATCACTTCTTGAGAACGAGTCATTTTAATCCCAGTCTCTCTTCCCTGGGGAGGTGAAAGGCTAAGTGTTCTTGAGTTAGTAGAGACTCAGATATAAATGTGTCTCTGTTGTCCAACGGGTCTAAGGCCGGGGTTCTGGTTACCAGTTCATGTCCAAAGACACTGGCTGATGGAGCCCAGGCCTCCCTGGCTAGGTGCCTGTGAGCTTTTCAGCTCTGACCACTAGGAAGTTGCTTCAGCTCACTGGGGTTCACAGAGGTGCCACTCAATAGGCCCCTGGATCCATCTTCCACCGTTTATATGCTGCCTCTGAACAAGGGCTGCAAACCACGGCTAATAAAACAGACATGGATAATAACCATGGCATCTGTGCCCAAGGAGCTGCATGCTATTTCCCCCAGAATGGCTGGCATTGGGCCTGAGGCCTTGCTGATTCAGCCTGGTGCTGTCTGGAATACACTTCGCTGCCGAGACCTCGTCCAAGGTCACAGGTGTCCCCTGCAAGATGCTGACTTTGATGTCTCTACTGGACACTCCCGTCCATGGCCAGGAATGGGCATTCAGCTCCAGTAAAGCAGACGTGAGCCCTGGCTCTGTGGGAGAGACGGACCCTGAACAGACTACCAAGTGTTTGCATGAGGATGAGGAGTAAAAATGCAGGGGGCTGTGACAGTGAGGGACAGGGAGAAGAGCCTGATCTCAGGGCTGGTGGGCACAGTGACATGGGCAGGAAGGCCTCAGCTAAGAAGGAAGTGTCCTCTGGTTCCGAAGAAGGCTTGGGAGTGGGGGAAAGGGACAGAGTGGCTCGGGAGACCTCCTTCACAGGGTCACCTGTACCTCAACCTGGAGCCCCTAGGGCCCGGACACACACTCTTTGACCCCCCTTCTTTCTAAAAAAAAAAATCACGTATGTTTATTATTTAGTGTGGGGATGGGTGGGCACGTGGCTGTCATGGCACACGTGTAGACGTCAGAGGACAAGTAGAGTCCCTTTCTTTCCATCACTTGGGCCCCTGGGATCAAACTCAGGTCATCAGGCTTGGAGTCACCCCATCTGCCCTGCATTGTTGTGTGTCTTGCTATGTCGCTCTGGCTGGCTTGATACACACTCTGTAAACCAGGCTGACCTCCAGCTTTCAGTAATCTTCCTGCATCTGCCTCCCGCATGCTAGAAGTGCAGTCATTCCCCTCCATGCCCGGCATCACCACCATGTCCCACACTGCCTTCTCCTTCTTTTTTTTTTTTTTGGTTTTTCGAGACAGGGTTTCTCTGTGTAGCTTTGCGCCTTTCCTGGGACTCACTTGGTAGCCCAGGCTGGCCTCGAACTCACAGAGATCCGCCTGGCTCTGCCTCCCGAGTGCTGGGATTAAAGGCGTGCGCCACCACCGCCCGGCTGCCTTCCTCTTCTTAAATTCTTTCTCTCCTACCACCATCCTTACTCTTCCTCTCCCTTTCAGCCTACTTCTGTCCCTTTTCCTTGCTTATCTGGCTTCCCATGCCTCTCATCTCAACCAATAGTGGTGATAGGACATCAGACTTGGAAGAGGCCAGTCTGTCTGGGTCCACCCAGGCTTTACCCCTTCCGTAAGGATTATGGGACTCTGGGCAAGCAAGTGGGGCCCTATGTGCATGGTGGGGGTTCCTCGGCCAGAGAAGACTAGGATATCTAAGGCTTGTAAAGGTACTTGAGACAGGCATTTGTACACACACACACACACACACACACACACCCCTACCCCTTTCTCCTCAGTGTCAGAACTGACCTGGTTCTGTTATTTCCGTTTTCCATGGACATTGATGTCCCCCAGCCACAGTGCTCCTGGTAAAGCTGCCCCCTGCTTGGTTAATTGCACATCTTCTCTATATGATTTCTGAATGCCTACTGGGCATTGACTTTGAGTATCCTCTGCATGGTATTTTTTTCTAACAAGGCAGGTTCCTTGGAGGGACATCCCCCTCAAGCTCTGTCTGATGTTGCCAGCTCCTGTAAGACCTGAGACTGGGTGGCTTCTCTACCCAGGTCAGCTTGCACTGAGGTGACAGTTGCAAACGACCTTGTCATTTGGGCAAAAGTATGAAGCCCTTCCAGGTCTGACATTGTGTTTGTTCATCTTAAAATACCTATCAGGCTGTGTGTGGTGGTGCACACCTTCAAGCCCAGAACTCAGGAGGCAGAAGCAGCCAGAACTCTATGAGTTTGAGGCCAGCCTGGTCTACATAGAAACTTGTAGGCCAGCCAGAGCTACACAGTGAGACCCTGTCTCAAAAACCTAAATATATATTGAGCTGGTGAAATAACTCAGTGTGTAAAGGTGCTTGCTGCCAAGCCTGATGACCTGAGTTCAATCCCTGGGACTTACATTGTGGAAGGCGAATACTGACTCCCACCAAGTTGTCCTCTGACCTCCACATGTGTGCTGTGGCACCCATATGAATACATATTCATACACAAATGAATAAATGTTATTTAAAAAACACCTGTAATTTAAAAAAACCATAGTGTTGCATGCCTTTAATCCTAGTGCTCAGGAAGCTGAGCCAAGATCTTCAGGTTGAGGTCATCCTGGACCAAATGAGGTCCTGTGGCCCTTCCCCTTCAAATAGTATTCTCAGCCCTCAGGACATTTACAGTTCACCTGTGAGATCACTGTCAACCAAAGCACCAAGGAGTAGTAGAAGAACCACTGATAATATGTAGATGATGCTGGAAGTGTTCAATGGAGGAGGTTGACCTAGTCTGGGAGGTCAGAGAGGTATCCAGGAAATCATGTGGGAATTGGGATCTGAAGAATGAGTAGGTATTAATCAAAAAAGATGGAGAGGGAAGATTCCAGAAGAAAACAGTATTGACAAAGATAAGGTAGAGAGAATGGGCAGGTAGAGCTTCCCCTTAAGATTGATCTCAGCTGCAGGTCTGAGAGTTAATTGCTTCCTGACCCTAGTGAGAGCTGAACTACAATCAGCCAGCTGGCATACTATTTACTTGCGTCTTAAGAGCAGGGAGAGCTGTAAGTGAAGGCAGAGTGGAGATATTCTGATGGGAGGAGAGGTTGACCCGATTAGATTTGTGATTTTTACAAAAGCTTATTCTGGCTGTGAGATGCTGAGGTCAGATCCAATGATTATAGGCTTGGGGAACTGCTGACGGGACTCACTGTCGGGAGAGGAAGTCAGCCTTGGATAGCGCCGTGGCTGCTCCGCTGGCTGTTCCTTCCCGTTTGACCTCCACAACTCCAAATCACCCTTCCATATTGCCCAAGCCAGAGCAGTAGGAAGTGTGTGGGTGGGCTGTCTCAGGAGAAGGTGTTTCCTAAGAACAATCTAGCAATGACAGGAACCCTCCAGGGGATTCTTTTTCCTGACTGAGAGAACAGTCCCCTGGAACTGATGTAAGTTTCTCATTAAACAGGATCGGTGAAAATCACATCTCTTCTTTTTCCTGTCTCCTTTCCAGGCTTATATTTGGCACCCTCTATCCCGCATATTATTCCTACAAGGCTGTGAAGTCCAAGGACATTAAAGAATATGTAAGTAGAGCCTCTCATTTGGGGCGGCTGATGGGGTGAGTGGCAGAGCGTGAGGCTGGGGCGGAGGAAGATAGATAGTTCTTTGGTATGGGTACGGGTGGCAGGAGGGAACCCCTCGTCACTCTTCTTCTCATGTAACTTCTCCGGAGTCCTGTTCCCTTCCCAAACTGCCCCGTCTAGACCCTAAGTGTTGAAGTGAGGAAAGCAGAGATGTATGAGAGGACATTGCATCTGGAACTGGAGGCCAGGTGCCATGGTGACGTTCTCTCTCTCAGCCTGGGTTTCCCCATCTGGGAGACTCTGCAGACCACAGACCACCATCTGGCATGGAGAGGTGCACAGGTCTGAGAAGCCAGCTGACTTGGCTGTTTCCTGGCTTTCCAGTTCTGACCTCCTCCCGGGCTGTCTTTCGACACCTACAGTTTAAGCCTTGTTGACATGTAAGCTCTTTGAGGATGAGGTGTTCCTAATCATCTCTCTGCAGCACCTTGCAGAGAGCTGAGCACATGGCAATGGGATCAGGAGGACTCACTGGTTAGAGGATTGTGACCATTACTGCTGGGTGGTTTGGGTGCTGCATGCATCATTCCTGGTCATCCCAGGTACCTCCTGTTTAGCTGCCCCATTGACCAAGACTTGCTGAGTGAAGGATATGATGAGAATGTCCTTTCCCTTGTAGGGGACTAGCCCAGGTCAATGACGTGTGAAGGATGTGGGTTTGGTCATAAAGAGACCGAGTTACCAAGTCCTAGCTCTGAAATTTATTGGTGTAATTATATGCTGGACACTTGGCATAAAACTCCAAGAGCCTCAGGTCATCTTCTGAACACGAACAGGGTGGTGACAATCCCCTTTTCCCTTAGAAGTTGTTGCTTGACAAACTCAGGGTCGGGCAGACTCATTCTCTAGAGGATTGCAGTCATTAATGTTGGGTGCTCCTGGCATTACCCCTGGTCATCCTGGGGTGTAGGTAAAAAAAATAATTCAAGGGCTAGAGAGATGGCTCAATAGTTAATAATCCTGCTGTTCTTACAGAGGACCAGGATTCAGATCTCAGATCCCATTTGGGGGGGCTAACAACCGCCTGTAACTCCAGCTTATGGAATCCAACATCATCTTCTGACCTCCTCAGGCACTTGCACACACAAGTACATTCTAACACATACATACATACATACATACATACATACATTCATACAGAGAGAGAGAGAGAGAGAGAGAGAGAGAGAGAGAGAGAGAGAGAGAAGTAAAATCTTAAAAGAAAGAATTAATTCAGAGCCATCCTGGAAGTCATTATTTTCATGGATTTCCCAGATGAACACCTCCAGATCAGCTACAATCAGAGCTCAGCCCCCTTTCTCCCAGCTTCCCAGAACTACTTGCTTCAGCTACTCTTACCAGGGAATCCAGAGTGGGTAACTTCTGGAGGCCAGTCCCTGGTATGTGAGGACAGCACTGCTCGCACACTATAAATAGCTGAGAAGTTGCAAGCACAGAGGCTCCTGGTTCTCAATTGATACAGCCCAGGCTAATGGGCAGCTTCTTCCAGCCCTACCCCTCCTGACCCCTTCCCACCTGTGGTGCTCAGCAGCTGTGCCAGGGAGGGAGGCCTTACTGAGATCTCTGTAGTGCAAGAGCTGATCCTCTACAAAGCAGGGGCTGAGCATGCTCCCAGCCAGCTGGGCGAGATCAAACCCTGGTAAATTGTTGTGCGCTGACTAAACTCACAGGAGCCTGGTGTATGACCAGAATGGCGATTCATTAATTTAGAGTGAACACTAACTGACAAGCAGAACAGCTGTTTGTGTTGGCTGGTGTGTGCACACATTTTCCCCTGGGGGAAAGCTTGGGAGTGAAGATTAGAGGTTTCTGGGTAAAAATGGCATTGGGAGATAGGAGCTGAGCACTACCAGGGAGACCTGCCTCCTTCCTCTGAACGCACATGCATGTGCTCTCTCTCTCTCTCTCTCTCTCTCTCTCTCTCTCTCTCTCTCTCTCTCTCTCTCATACACACACACACACACACACACACAGTCAACATACGTTCAATGTCCCAATACTCTCAAAACACCACTCTAGCATACTCAGTCTCTACGTATCACACACATACTCACACTGTTTAACATGTTTCCTTCTTGTGGTCTGTTCAGTTTTATTTCTGTCAATGTTATGAAATACCCTGACTAGGGGCTAGAGAGATGGTTCAGTGGTTAAGAGCACTTGCTGTTTTTCCAGAGGACCTGGGTTTGGTTCGCAGCACCTGGGTTGAGTGACTCACAACCACCTGTAAGTCCAGTTCTAGAGGATCTGATGCCCTTTTCTGTCCTCTGGAGGACACCTGAGCACATTGTCTGTCTGTCTGTCTGTCTCTGTCTCTTTCTGTCTCTCTCTGTCTCTCTCTCTCTCTCTCTCTCTCTCTCTCTCTCTCACACACACACACACACACACACAGAAAGAGAGAGAGATTAAAAAATAAAAATAAATCTTCAAATAAAAAAAAAAGAAAACACTTTGAGCAAAAGCAACGTTGGGGAGGAAAGAATTGGGCTTACACTTCTAGGTCCCTGTCCATCATTGAGAGAAGCCAGGGCAGGATCTCAAGCAGGATCCTAAAGGCAGGCCTGCTTGCTAGTCATGCAGCAGTGCCTCTAACCAAGGAAGTATATCTGAAACCATGGAGAGTGCTGCTTTGATGGCTCCATCAGCCTTACGCTCAGCTAACTCCCTTATGCAGTCCAGGACCACCTGCCCAGGGAATGGTACCGCCCACGGCGGGCGGGGCCCTCCAACATCAATTAACAATCAAGACCATCTCCTGCGGACATTGCCAGAGGGCACCTCCTAACCCCATTTGCCCAGGAGAAAACCGGGGACTTCCCTGTGACTCCAGCCTCTCCACTCTCCAGCTTTATTAACTGTCATGTCCATTTGGGGACCGTACCCCCTCATCCGTAGAGCTATCGTCTTCCAAACAGGGCTCCCATCCTTCTCCCATCTGGGAAGGATGTGCACACACCAGCCAACACAATGATCTGCCTCACACCATTCCCCTGGAGTGGGTCAATGGTCTCTTGAACTAGCTTTTAAAAATATCTATTTATTAGCCGGGCGGTGGTGGCGCACGCCTTTAATCCCAGCACTCGGGAGGCAGAGGCAGGCGGATCTCTGTGAGTTCGAGGCCAGCCTGGACTACCAAGTGAGTTCCAGGAAAGGCGCAAAGCTACACAGAGAAACCCTGTCTCGAAAAACCAAAAAAAAAAAAAAAAAAAAAAAAAAAAAAAAAAAAAAAAAAAATATCTATTTATTGTTTTTCAATTGGTTATGTCTGAGATTATATTTATTATCTATAATTTGTAAATTATGTACAAAAACATAGGTTATTAGATAATGCAAATTTATTTGACTTTATTTTATGTGTATGGATGTATTGCCTGAATGTCCATAAGTGTAGGGCATCAAATCCCCTGGACTGGAGTTACAGAAAGTTGTGAGCCATCATGTAGTTGCTGGGAATTGAACCCCTGTCCTCTGGAAGAGCAGCTGGTACTCTTAACGGCTGAGCTCTCTTTATCCCAGGATAATGCAAAATTTTAAGACTGTAACAATAACCTCTTCATGACTACTAATATTTATAATGTTGAGTAACTCCCTTGTGGCTACACTCTCATTTTTATATTCTTTTGTTATTATTTTAGAGTTTTCATACAAGTTTCAGATTAGCTTTTTATTGTCATGTAACAAGTTACCGTGCACTTCCCAGCATAAAACAGCACACATTATTAGATTTCAATCCTGGAGTCACAGGCAGGGCTATTCCTCTTGGAGTATTTGGAGGAGAGTCTGTTTCCCTGTCTTTGTGGCTCCTAGTGGCAGCTGCCCCTCAGCACTAACCCTTTCCTCATTCTGTGGAGCCAGTGTCATTGGGTCTCTGAGTGGTCCTCCACAGTCACTCCCCCCGCGGACCCAGCTAGGAAGAGTTCTCTTTTAAGGACGTGATTACAGTTGGTAGGGTGACCTTCTCATCCGATGTCCTTAATAACTCTGCCAATTCCTCTTAGCTATGCAGTGGTCGCCGTCCTTGGGGAGCTGTTAATAGTGAGTGAGACCCTGAAACTGTTGGAATTAATGTGGTAACTAATATTAAATGGATTCATCGGGCAAGAGTGAATGAAAGTTCAGGTGTGCCTCCCAGAGACAAAATTGATTTGCATCCTTATAGAAACAATATTGCCATTGAAATCAGTTTTCTGTAACTTATCAAGCTATGAAAAATAGCCAAACAAATGTTGAGAAGTAAGATACCTGAAGAACCAGGATAAATTGGGGCTTTGTCCTAAGACATAACTAACCTGGATTAAGTCCAGGATCCCTGCAGAGATTTTGCTTGAAATCTCACTCTGATTGCTCAATAACCTGTTTGCTCCCAACGTGGAAGGCGTGTAGCAGAACTGCACCTGAGTTAGGGAAGTATGGGGCGGGGGCGGCCCGCAGCGGGACGGGTGCAAATGGCATGGCTTGGACCTGCCTCAGTGTCCACTGCCTTGGGCTAGGCAGCCATGACCTTGACTACCAACTCCTTCTTTCAACAGGTCAAATGGATGATGTACTGGATTATATTTGCCCTCTTCACCACAGCAGAGACGTTCACAGACATTTTCCTTTGCTGGTAAGTGCTCCAGGGACTAGGATGTTTCAAAGGGCAGCATTTTTAGTAAATTACTCCATAAAAGTTATTCAAGTAAATTTCCTTGATGAGCTTCCTAAGAGCACGTGTTGTGTAAGGCACTAGGGATGTCGTATAGACTACACGGGCAGAGCTCCTCTGTGAATGGAGTTGGTAAGGTATTTGCATGTCAAAGAGGGAAGGAAATGATATATGGGAGTATGAAATGAAAGGGCTAAGCCTCAGGAGTAAATAAAGAGCTAGTGCTGTATGCATGGGGGCCTGGACTTGAGGCCCAGCACTAAAAGACGAAATAAGCGTGCAATCAAAATACCATATTTCCTCCTAACTCATGTGCTCTTCTCATAACCACTATTCACACTTGAATGTCCTTGTAAAACACTCCTGGGTACCAGGAGTGGTAGCACATGCCTTTAATTGCAGTGCTCTTGAGGCAGAGGCAGGCAGGTCTGAGTCTGAAGCCATCTTGAACATAGTGGGTTCCAGGACAGCCAGAACTACATAGAGAAACTCTGTCTCAAAATAAAAATGGTGGTGTGTTAATAAACACATTTACACAGACATTTTTTATTCTTAAAATTTTATTATTCTGTGTGTGTGTGTGTGCATGTGTGTATGTGTGTGTGTGTGTGTGTATGTGTGTGTGTATGTGTGTGTGTATGTGTGTGTGTGTGTGTGTATGTGTGTGTCGCGCGCGCGTGTGTGTGTGTGTGTGTGTGTGTGTGCATGTGTGTGTGTATGTGAGTGTATATGTGTGTGTGTGTGTGTGTGTGTGTGTGTGTGTGTGTGTGTGTGTGCGTGTGTGTGTGTGTGTGTGTGCTGCACATGGTGCCTGTGTGGTACATGTGATATAGCATAAGCATGCCATGGTACACATGTGGAAGTTAGAGAACAATTTTGTAGTTATCTCCTTCCAACTTTGTGTGTTCTGGGGATCAACTCTGGTCACCAACCTTGTACAGCAAGCGCCTCTACCCCCTGAGCCATCTCACTGGCTCAGTGTTTTTCCTTGTTTTTATGCTAACTTTTTTCACACTAAAAACCCCTCTTTCCGGTTCCCACGTGCTGGGATGACAGGGGTGTGCCGCTTATGCTTTTTGTTTTCTCTTTGTAAATGTAAGTATTAGACATAACAGTTCTCAGATTCCTGATTGAATTTATTCATGTGAGCATAAGTATATCTACCTGTTTTTCAGTCACCACGTAGAATTTCATGGTCTAGATGGAGTGTAACTTAGTTAATTAGTGTCCTTTTTGAAAAGTTTAAAGGTGTATTTTATTTTTAATTGTGTGTAGGTCTATTTGCATGTGTGTGTGGCGGGGGAAGGGGGTTGTGCATGTGAGGATAGGCACCTGAGGAGGCCGGAAGAGGACATTGGATCCCCTGGAGCTGGAGTTACAGGTGGTCGAGAGTGGCCTAATAAGAGTGCTGGGAGCCATGTGCAGGTCCTGTGGAAGAGCAGTATGTAGTCTTAACCACTGAGCCATCTCTCCAGTCCATTAATATCCTTTTGATGGACATTAAGTTGTTTGGCTTCTTTTGCTTATAAACAACACAATTGCTAGACACACATCTTTAATCTCAGCACCTGGGAGGTACAGGCAGGATCCAGAGTTCAAGGTCAGCATTGGCTGTCTAGTGGATTCAAGACCATCCTAGGCTACATGAGACTCTGTCTTAATCGTCTATGCCCAAAAGAAATTAATACAACTATTTTCAGCAGCGGTGCAATTAATGACATTATTTGCATTGATATACAGCTTTCTCTCAAAGATAGTAAATAATGCATAATATCCTATTCATATTTAAGGGGGTTGGCAGGTATTTCCATTCTGGAGAAGAAAAAGATTTTTATTCTGAAAGGGCCAGTATGTACCTATATACCTCACCCCTACAACATCATAGGCCCAAAGTCAGACCTGGACAGTAAATCTTTGAATTCCATTTTGAGTCACTGGCCTTGATTATGTTAGAACATAGCTCTGCAGTCTTTCTTCTGAAGGAACCATGTGTCAGCCATAGCAGGAATCTGGATTTCTTTTTCTCTTTCTTTTCCTTCTTTCTTTCTTTTTTTTTTTTCTTGTTTTTCAAGACAAGGTTTCTCTATGTAGCCCTGGCTGTCCTGGAATTCACTCTGTATGTAAGCCAGGCTGGCCTCAAACTCAGAGATCTGCCTGCCTCTGCCTCCTGAGTGCTGGGATTAAAGGTGTGAGCTACTCCCGCCCGGCTGGATTTTTTGATTCAGTTCATACCCGTGACACAGGATGGACTGGACTTCTGTGAATAGAGACAGAACTCTGCTCTGCCATCCCTTATTGTCCCCAGAACACAGAAGCTGTCACAAGGGATCAGACCATTGTGAGAGCTTCCATGAGGAAGGGCTCCTGTGTCACCTGTAGAGATGAGGGTACTGGGTCCCAGGCCAGCAAAGAATGGGTAGTCCATTAAATAGTGTGGCCAGCACCTGGAGTCTTGCAGGCACAGCTCCTCAGGCTCCCTCTGTCTAGTGCTGTGTTTGGGTCTGCTCTCCTCTCCTTCTCATGGATAACGGGGAACTATAGTATTAGTCTCGGGACCTCATTGCTCAAGTCTCGACATGTTAACCTTGCCACTTTTGCTGGATAGAAATCCTGGCTAATGGTGGCTATGCTCCCTCCTATCAAGTCACTGGACTACCCACTGGCCATGGTCCAGTTTTAGAATTTCCTACCTAGTAAGTACTCAACCATTTTTTTTTTTAGTCAATATAATTTTTTTTTCTTCAGTTTTTGAGGTAGGGTCTCACTATGTATATGTAGGCCTGGCTGGATGAGAACTTCTATGAATACCCGGATAGCCTTGAACTCAAAGAGATCTGCCTGCCTCTGCCACTGGGATTAAAGCTGTGTTATCGGGGACTATGGGGGTCCAGCCCCTTGATAGTCCCCTCCCAGGGTCCGGGAAAAATCTACAACCAGCTGATAATTAATCTTTGATGAAAAGAAATGAATCTATGTACGTGAAACTCCTTAGTCCATACACTTTATTATTCTGTGTCAGTTCTCTCTCCACAAGCTTCTATTCTGCTCTCATTTTTTAGCTCCTTTCTTGCTGATTTCTCTCTACATTTATCTGCTGCTCCCTCTAAGTTCTATCTTAATTCTCTCATCTTAATTCTGCCTCATCTAGGTCCTTTTCATCTTGTTCTTACCCAGCTAGTACTTTCCCATCTGACTCTTCCTCATCTTCCATCGCGTCCACACATACTCTCTGGTCAAAATCCTCCGTATCCGTCTCCATTTTCTGTCATCTCAGTTCTCCATGTTCCTCCCAAGTCTCCCAGGAATCCAGTTATAAACCCAAGCAATAGCAATCCTCTGGCTGAGCAAGGTCACCAGGCTTGAATTCTATGGGCTCACAAGAATTTTCCTCAGGCAGTGACCACCAGGCTTTCTTTTACAACCCAAAATGGGAGTGGTAAAGGAGGAGGTCAACTGAGTGCTGATGACCGGTTAGTATATCAAAAAGGGATCTATGTGCTCAGTCTACATTCCGAGAAGTGGTTAGGTAAGACGTTAGGGGTCTGTTAGTAAGGCTGTATAAGAAAGGAGGGTCTCACCCTAAATTGCACAAGAAATAACGCTATCCACCTGACCTAGGAGACAGGTGTTGTTTCGTTTGGCCTTGGACGCTTGATAAGCATTTTAGATAAATAAACTGTTAGGAGTTCTTGGAAGCACACAAGGAAATCATTTTAGGAACCAGCTAATACATACATACATACACATACATACATACATACATACATACATATATACATATATACATATATATGTATATATATATATATATATAGCTGAACTATCACCAAGACTTCTTAAGCCATGGCTTGACCTTTGGAGAAGCTCTTGACTTTTTCCACGTAGTAGCTTTTGTGATAGTAGCTGAATTCCATTACGTTTTCCTGTGGCTTGCAGCACTGTGTGCTACCATACCTGGCCCTGTGAATTTGATTTTTATTTAGTGAGACACAGAAGTTTGCTTTTGCGTCTTTATTCTACCATTTCTACAAGTTAGAAGTTGGGGTTGAATGAACCAAGTTCTCTGCTCAGAACCTCACAAGGCCAGGGTCGAGGTGTGGGACAGCTGGAGCTCTGTCTGAAGGCTCTGGGAAAAGATCCCGGCTTCACATTCAAGTTGTTAGGTACATTCTATCCGTTGTGGTTGTAGGACCATCGGCTCCATTTCCCTCACATACACAGCTCCCCTTCTTCTTCAAGCTCACAATGGCATCTTGATCCTTCTCAGGCCTCAGATTCTGTCTTCTACTTCCAACAGAAGATCTGTGTGTTTGCCCACATGTGATTAGACAGGCTCACCCCAGTAATCCAGATATATCCTCATCTTAAAGTTAGCCGTGAGTAACCTGCATTCCATCTGTAAGTTCTTTTGTCATTGAAGGTACATACGACAGGGACATAACCCGAGGAGGAGAAGGTCACCGGCAAAATCCTGTCTGTAGTGGGAATCTGTGTCCACCTGGTATGTCTGCAGCCTTTGTACAGGGCAGGGTGGAATCCCTACCTTCCTGCTTGTCAAGTGGAGGCCTCACCTGTTCCCCCCTTTGGCCCTCTTAGCTGGTGGTGTCCTAGAGTTTTATGGGTGGGAAGTGAGGATCCCTTGCCCTGCTCCTGGGGGCCTCAGCTCTTCAGAGAAAGGCTCTCCTGGATCTGGCCCCCCACTCTGCACTCATCCCCATTCTTTCTATCACCCTTCCCCAAGGCAGTTTCCTCTTCACAGTCCTCTCCCCCTCCCCTCCCCCCCTCCCCTCTCCCCCTCCCCTCCTCATTCTCTCCCTTCCTCTCCCTTCCCCTCCCCTCTTCTCCCCTCCCTTCCCCCTCCCCCTCCTCTCCTCTCCTCCCCTCTCCTCTCCTCTCCTTCCTCTCCCCTCCCCTCCTTCCTCTCCCCTCCCCTCTCCTCTCCTCTCCCCTCCCCTCCTCTT